TGCGCCTCTGCCCTGGGGGATTTGACGCCTCACTGCCAGGCTATGGGTCCGCTCCGGGTATGGAGCCAAGAGAAATGCAAAGCGAGTGTCCACATAGAAGCTGGCAGAGGAGCCGCACTGGTCCCACAGCAGGGGCAGAAACTCCACAAACACGTGCGACTGACACACAGACACACAAACGCCGAAGCAGCCACAGAACATACTGCGTGTCGCTCAGGCGAAAAAGAGGGGGCTCCACAGGCCGAGGGAGGATCGGGGCAGAGGAACCCAGAGGATGGATGGGCCACAGGTGCTGGGGAAAGGAGGGGTCCCTTTGGGGTGATGAGAATTCCCCGGCGATTTGAGGGGGGGGTCATCACAGAGCTCTGGGAATGTGCCGCAAACACCCAATTGTACAACTCCCATAGGGCGTTGTGGGGGATGTAAACATCACCCCAAGCCGCGGACAGTAAAATCTGCGGCGATGGGCAGTGTGTGGACAGATGGCTACCGTAACCAGCACATGAATGGCTGAAACCTAAACAGGAAAACAGTCGCTGTCCTCAAGTCCATCCCGACTCAGAGTTGCCCCTAGAAACGTGCTGTGATGGCACAGGAGCAAACTGCCTGTCCTTCCCTGCCAGGCCACTGAGGCGTCACAACCACCACCGAGGCACAGACTCAGGGCCCTGCGAGGGGCCAGTCCTTCCCCACCAGGCCACTGGGGGGGTCACAACTGCCACCAAGGCACAGACCCAGAGACCGCTGCCAGAGAGGTGGCCAGCCAGCCCCCCCACCCCCTGTGGGCGCTCAGCAGGGAAGATGGATGGACTGCTCCTGAAAGGTCACAGCCCCACACCCAGTGAGGGCCTCAGACAGCTGCGGGTTTGGGGTTCTCGGCAGCGCCATCAAGTGAGAAGCAGCTCGGAGCTGACCTTGCAGCAGGCTTTGGGGTCCAGGTGGACTCCCGTGCTCTCCACAGCCTCGGACACCCTTGGAGGGGCCGCTCTGTGTCCCACTTGTGCTCCGGGCTGTCACAGAGATGACCGAGTGAACATGGCTCAGGCCTCGGGCACCTCTCAGCACAACCAGGAGCCCTAGGGGTGAGGAGGCAAACACCCCAGTTCTCGCAGAGAAGGAGGGAGCCTCTAACGAGCCAGATGCTGCTCCACGACTGCTCGAAGGGTGAGAGGATGGTCCTCTCTGCAACAGGACAGTCCAGCACTGACCACGAGGCAGCGCTCACCAGACAAATCCTCAAGGAGGCGCAGGAAAAGAAGGCAAGTCCCACCTCCCCACGGACAGTCGGATTCACTCTCCTGGCCTCTCTCCCTTCAGGGAAGGCTGGATCCGAACCACACCGGGCATGGAGATCAGGTCAGAGGGGCACTGGGGGGAACGGCAGGTGGCGGGAAGGACTGGGCACCGAGCAGGAAAGCCCTTTACTGGTTGTACTGGTGGCGGGTGGGTAGTTGGGTGAACGAACAGGTGGATGGATGGATAGGTAGGTGGATAGGCAGGTTGGTAAGTGGGTGGGTAGGCAGGTAAGTGTGGATGAGTGGTGGGCAGGGGGATAGGTGGGTGGGCAGGTAGATAGTTGGAGACAGATGGGCGGAAAGGTAGGTAGGTGGGTGTGTGGGTAGGTGAGTGTGTGGGTAGGTGGGTGGGTGATTCACTGACAGACCTCACAAAGGCTGGGCTGGCCACAGGAGGCCACAGGTCGGACAAGGACAGTGTCAAGGATGAGGACGCAGGGGCTGAGAGGCCCATAGTGGCAGGCCTGGCACAGGGCCAGGTTCCGAGAGTGACAGATCTAGACATGGGGGGCTGACAGATGCACAAACACGAGACAGCACTGCAGCCACAACTGCTGGAGTCAGGTGTCTGCTGAGGGCAGGTGAGAGGAGACAGAAAGGGCGCCCCGCTACAAGCTGTAACAAGCTGTGAGGCCACTTTGTGAAAGCGGCAGAAAAACACCAGCCTGGGACCCCAGGGGCCAAGCCCACACGTGCCCTTGACTGGGGCGGGGTGGGGAGGGTGGTCCACACATCGGCTTCCGGGAACACCTGCTGCGGAAGCTGTTGGGACACTACCCTGTGGTGAGGGGGCTCTTGGAACCAGGCCTCTTCCATCTTCTGGGAAAGGTGACGTCCAGCTGAGGTCTCAGGACACTCAAGTGAACCTCTGGTGAGGTCCGCCAGCTGAGTCCCAGCCGATGACATACTGGTGCCATGCCAACGATGGGGGTCCGCTCACACTGTCGTCCACACCACTGTCCACGTCACTGTGCTCACTGCTCTGAACCAGCACCCCAACTGCACACCAGCACCCAGTGCCCTCAAGTGCTTCCTGTGGCTGAGCTGAGCTCCTGGCCCTTCCCTGTCCCCCCAGGGACCCTGCAGTGACCACAAGTCAGGAGGAGAGCCTGACAGGCCTGGGAAGTCCAGTACAGAAGCACCCACAACCCATGTCCCTTCAAAACGTTCCTGGAACGAGTCAGCAGCCTGGGCGTGAGCCCTGGACCACCCCCGGGGGCCTGGCCCCTGGGCCTCTGCCACGCAGGCACCTGAACTCACATCTCCAGTGGTGAAGGCCTTGTGTTTTGGACACACTTCATCACAAACAGAAATGCTCTGGAAATCAGGGTCCCCTGTGAAAAGGGTCTGGGCAGATGTCTTGGACACAAGGTACAAATGGCAGAAGAGACAGGTAGGGGCGAGGCCCAGGCACAGCGTCCAGGTTCGCCTGCTGGTCTGGGCAGGCCACTGGCGCTGTGGGCTGGGCGTTCCTGAATGCCAGCTACCAAGAGGCCACCCAGTGGCCCTGGGGGCACATGGCCCTCATCTGGGAAGCCACCAGCCCGCAGGCTTTCTCACACTGGCTCTCAGGCCAGGTCCAGAACCAGGCCCTGCGAAGGCCTTGGTGGGACCCAACTCCATCCACGGAGAGCTGCTCTGTCCTCCCAGGCTCAGATGTCACATGCAGCCCTGCCAGCCCCAGCTTCCGGTCCCCGGTCCCAGCCCTGGCCTGGCCCCGGCCTACTCACTCTGGTGTCGCAGCCACGCGCGCAGCCGGTTCCCCGTCTCCACGAGCTGCTCCTTCTCCCTCTGTAGACGCAGGATGTTTTGGGCTGCGGCCCTCAGCTGCCGCCTGAGCTGGAGCTCAGCAGGGTGTGGTGTGGGCTGGGGGGCCAAGACCCTGGTGCCTGTGTGCTCACCGCCAGCAGGACCCTGCAATGTCAATCCACAGGCCATCAGGGGTGATGGTCACCCAGGAGGGGCTCTTGTGGGCCAATGCTTTTGCTTTCCTGTATCCTGGAACCCCTGACTCCGAGTGCCCCCTCTCACCCTGGCTCCTCCCAGCAGGCATCTCTGCCCCCATCACTGGGGACACTCATCCAACAGAGAAAACAAGATGGCCCGACCTCACAGTGGATAGAGGAGGATGGTGTGTGGGGTCACTGCCTGCCCCATCCCGCCCAGAGGGTACAGCCGCAGGCCTTCCCCTTCTACTGCTCTGCCCCTCCTCGAGAGGACAGTGAATGCCAGCCAACCCCATTGTCCACCAGGCCACACAGTGGCCTAAAGACTGTCCCCCTAGTCCAAGACAGTTGGTGCTGTTCCCGCCTCTCATGCCTGATGGGCCAGCCCAGCTGATGCTCACATCGGGGCACTGGGCACCCCTTCATCCCTTGGACACCAGTGGGTAAGCACCTGGTCCCAGGGGAGCTGAGGGGGGAGGCCCTGCCCTCTGTGCCTCCTCAGCCTGTGAAAGACCCATTGTGTGGCCTGGCAGGGCACCACCCAGGGCAAAGGCGGGCCAGTGCAGCGCCTGCTTCCACATGTACTGTGTGTGCTCTCCTGGGGCAGGCAAGATGGAGGAGGACAGGGCCAGCAGGGCCAGCACTGAGACCATGGTGCCCTGGAGACAGCCCCAGACACCCTGGGAGACAATTTGGCCTCCATCCTGGAAGGAGGGACCCCTCTCCAACCCAGCAGGAGCCCATAAGCAAGGTGTCACAGCCCCAAGGGGAATGGTTGGATGGAGATGGGTCTGAGGAACAGGCACCTGGAGACCAGCCACAGCCAGGGAACCTAGTAGGGACAGACAGCAGACAGACATGTTGGGACAGTGTCATGCCTTCCTGTGTGGCCGGCTGAGAGTGAGCCGGGGGGAAGAAGCACAGGGCTATGACGCAGGGACAGCTGCCACATGGCTAACATAGGGAAAGCCCTCCTGGAGACGAGAACTTAGGAAACCTCAGAGCAGATTCAGAACACAGCTCTCTCTCGAGCAGAACCCCTAAAACCAGCGGGGTCAGAGCTGACAGCTTGGGATCCGTCCAGCGGGCAGCATTCTAATTTAAGGCCAGCAGGAGCCCCTGCTCTGTGCCTGGGAGGTCCCCTCACCTGTTTACCCTGATGTCCCTGTCAGAGCACAGACCCCATGACCCGGCCGAAAGCCTCTGCTCGAACCACACCCTGACCCCAGAAGCCTGTGTTCTTGCCTAGCACCTTGGGAAGGACAGGGCATTACTGTGAGGGATCTAGACAGGGCAACCTGGGTTGATGAAATTTTGTGTCCACAGAGGACCTTCGGTCAGCCTGCGGCGTGGTCTCTACCTCTCTGTGACCCAGGCAGGTCATGCTCCCATCCTCACCGCCACAGGAGCGAGATGAAGGACGATGGTAACATACTGCCCCCTAGTGCCAGGCCACATGCAGATGGCAGAGCCCAAGATGGGGTTCCCACGGTCCCAGCCCAGCAAGAGCTACAGAGATGGCCATCGTGTGTTGGTCTGCCCCCACCTCAACTCCCGTTCTGTGGCCAAGGTGTGTCCACATCCTCTCTGCCTCCTGTCTGTGGCCATGGCAAGAGGAGAAGCAGCAGCCCTGGGGACGTCCGTAGGCCCTTGACCAGCTCTTCCCTGTGGGGGCAGTGTTAGCTTTTTATTTGATGGAAACTGGAACTTACGGAAGGGCTGTGAGGAAGTTCAGAATCAGGCTCACAGGACCACCTGAAGGGCCCAGGACTATCACCCAGCTACCCAAAGGGCACAGGGGCCTCCATGTCTTCCCCCAGCGCAAGCGGCCTGCACCAGCCCCTTCCCATGGGCTTGGAGGGCTGAGAGGCAGTTCTGGGGCCTTGGGGAGTCCACCATGGCCACTGTGCGACCACTTCATCTAAAATCATCACCATTCTCCAATCCTTCTCATTCACACTTCCTCACTGTAACAGACATGGAGAGGAGGGGGCCTTCTGCTACACGGGGTGAGGGGGGTGTCCTGTCTTCTACCTGGGGGCAGCAGCACACATGTTGAGAGAGCGAATGAACAGGACACGGGGATCCTGCCTTCTACATAGGGACAGTGTGAGGAGGACGTAACAGTGCTGGGAGAGGGGACAAAGTGAGGCTTCACATATGAGCCCAGCAAGTCAGGTGAGGCCCCAGGGCAGGCGAGGCTTGTTCCCCAGGTCCTGCACCTTGGCAGCAGGTACAGATGCTCTCAAGCCCCTGCCTCCCTCACTCTCCTGTCCTTTGTCTCCTGCTGGCTCCTTGTCCTGGTCGCCCAAACACTGTGTCTGCTTCAGTCCCTTCTAGTCCTTGCTTGACAGGGGACTTGGGACTAGGTCCCTCCCTTGGACACCCCTGGTTCTCTGCTCTCAAACCCAGCAGGAGCTGGGGACCTTCAGAGATCCCTGAGACCTCGTCTTTCAGACCTGCTCCATCAGATCTTTCTTCAGACCTCGTCCCTCAGACTGTGTCGCAGACCCCACCCCCCGACCCCCACCCCCCGGCCCAGACATGCTCCTTCAGACCTGCTCTGCCCTGTCTCCTTCCTCAGACTTCCTCCATGAGATCTGCTCTCTCTGACCTCCTCCCCGAGACCTCTACCCCTGGACCTGCTCTGCCCTGTCTCCTCCCTCGGACTTCCTCCATGAAATCTGCTCTCTCTGACCTCCCAGGAGCCCCCTGGGACTCTGCTGTCAGTGCCAGCAGCGGCCAGGCACCCACCTGCTCCCCGAGGGTGGAGTTCTCCGGGGCTCTCGGCTGTCCCTCACACACAACCTCTCCTTCCTTCTGAGCAGTGGTCAGATGCTTCTCCAGCTCAGTCACCTGCTTGCCCAATTCCAAGACCTCCACGTGCACCTGATCCACCTCTCGGGACAGCCGGAACCAGATAGTGTCCATTTCTGGAGGTTTCTGTAAGAGCTAGTCATACAGGGGATGGGTCAGGAGGGAGAGGATGTGGAAACTCCAGCAAGTCCCAGGGGACAGGGCAGGAGATGGCCTGAGGGTGCAGGTCTGATGGAGGAGGTCTTAGGTGCTGGTCTTAGGGTACAGGCCTGAGGGAAGAGGTCTGAGGAAGGAAGTCTAAGGGAGGAGGTCCATGGCAGTGAGTCTGATGGGTGCACTTAGATCAGTCTGAAGGAGATTGGGGTGTGCCCAGGAAGAGCAAACACTGCACAAGCAGGAAGTGAAGGACGCCCCTTGCCCGACCATCAGGTCCACACATCTCAAGTGTGAAGCTCCTTGGACAGACAGCTGAGTCCTGGGGTTTCATGGACATGGGGTGCAGGCAGGTGGACAGGGCCGGCATCAGGCCTCACGTAGATGGGGAAAGAGACTCAGCCCTCCCCATGAACTGGAGAGAGGTGAATCTGCAGGTGGCAGGGGAGTCACAGTGTGGAGAAGGAGCTGCAGCCACCGGGAAAGTTTCAGCCCGAAAAGACAGAGTAATGGTAGGCATAGTTCAATAAGGATTAATTTTATAAAACACAATGTATGGGAATGACTGTATGAAACAAATATCAATGAAGGAAAGCGTGAAACATAATGTATATGAATTTTGTCTGCAAATCAATATAACTTTTTTTTTAAAAAAAGGACAAAGGAGACTGTGAGTGCGGACGGAGCAGTCACATCCTCAGAGGATATGGCCAGCTGGGGTGGATTATGGCTTGGTTTTGGGACACGGTGGCCAAGGGCACTGACGAGGGCCCAGTCCCACCTGCCTCACTCCTGCCACTAGGTCAGTCAGCCACTGGAGGTCCATCTGGGCTGCTGGGGACATAGAACCCACGCTGCCTGCTGCACTGTGGACAGCTATCCTTCTCCTGACCAAACACACAGGAGACATGCACACACACAGCAGACATGCACACACACAGCACACACACAAAGAGCAGACATGCACGCACACAGCACACACACAGCAGACATGCACACACATATGCAAACACAGGAGCACACACATGACCATGCCGACACACATGCATGGACACGCAGCACACACATGCACGCATACAGCACATCTGCATCCACACACAGCATACCCACATAAGCACACACGTGAATAGAGGTGTGAACACAACACACATGTATGCATATGCAGCACACACATGCACAGACAGCACACGGCAACAGCACTCACGCTCACACGCTCAGGACCAGCAGGGCCTCATAACACTCGCCTGAGAGGCTTCCTTGGCTGTGTGGTTTTCCCGCAGAGGTCTCCTCCCTCCCCTGGTGTGACAGCCTGCATGTGAGGTTCAAAGGGTCAGCCTCACCTTCTCCTGGAGCCTGGAGACCAGGCAGTCCAGTAGATGCACCCGGCCCAGCATCTTCCTGCACGCCAGAACACTGGGCGTCACCTCGGCCTGCAGAGGGTCCCCTGTGGAGAGGCGGGCCAGTCAGTCAGGCTCAATGGGTCAGAAGCTTCTGGTTCTGGATGAGATGGAGCATGTACACACCATGCTGTTCTGTCACTAATTACAGAGGGCTGCTGGGAGCCACTGTGCAGGTGAGCAGGAGGGCCTGGCAGCCCCTCAGGGCTCAGGGCAGCCTCTTGTGTGTCTACTTCCAGCCTCGGTGCAAGCATGGCCCATGTCCTAGCGCGCCTTGGATCAGGAGGCTGTCCTCTGAAGGGAGAGGCAGGCCGGCAGCGGGTGGAACCCTGGGCCACACTCACCCTGTGAGACAGGACTCTCGCCAACTGCACCGACTGGGAACTGAACTCCAGTAGAAGATGAGGACACCTTCGGAGGACCTGACCCATCTGCTAACTGTTCTTCTAGTTTTTTAAATTTATGCTTTAGATTTTGTATTTCTGCTTCAAGAGCCAGAACATAATCTGCCAAAACAAAGAAAATATTTTAAAACACACAGCCACGTATGCACCTGCCACACAAGAGCTCCAGGGCACAGGGCTGCCGCCTGCCCACTGCCTTCTCCCCTCCTCCCACTTTCACATAGCTGTGGGCATTATGTTAACAAGCTCATCCAGACCACACAGCAGGGTCCCCGATGCCTCTTCTCATTAAAGAAGCAGCACGCGCACCCCCCGCCCAAGGCACACCCAGGGCTCGGCCCTCAGAGTGCTGGTGGAAGAGTGCGCAACGGGTTCTACAAATCCAGAGGACTGACTATTCCAACTCCACCCGATGTCCCAGGGACAAGGACAATCTCCTCCTGTGCGGTGTGCAGCCTCTTACAAGTTGGTTTCAACTTGACATCAGTGAGTGGGGTGCTACAGAGAGAGGCAGAGAAGACAGAGAGCGTCTTCCCTAGACCTGACGCTGACCCAGACCTCTAGCCTAAAACTGTGCAGCCAGAAACCCTTGTTCTTGAACGTCACTGCCTGGGTGTCGTGTGTGACAGCAGTAACAGTGCAGCCCACAAAAGCCCTCCTCCACCGCTGTGTGTGCGCAGCACTCAGGTTCCAGCCAGGCTACTGGGGAGCCCATTCACCTATCACGCTGCACAACAGCAACACCCATCTGGCAGGAGCGAGCCCCAAGGTGCAAGATGAGACTGCTGCTGGTTGTGCTGGTGGAAGTGGTGCGTGGACTCGCCAGCCCGGGTCATGGGGTGACATGTCATGGGATGACATGGCCACCGTCCATGTCTATGGAGAACACTGGCTTGGCATCTACCTGGTTTTTAGGATGGAACCACGTTGACAGATGAGAAGTGGGTACACTTAAAATGCCTCAGGGTCATCTGTTTTCAGACACAGTGTGGGAAATGATGGGGAGCTCTGGGGGCCTACTGGGTACAGCTGTGCTGCCAACCCAGAGACTGAGGGCCCGCGTCCACCACCTGTTTCATGGGAGAAAGATGGAAACCCACGGGAGAGTCGGCTCCACTGGATGGCAGTGAGCGAGCACAATGCAGCCACCACTCACTGCCCACAAGGCAGCGGCTCCCCCTCAGCTGTGCCACACGATACCCTGCAGGTGGGCACCAGGGTCTGGTGTGCCCGCAGCCCTTCTGTGGTGGGGCAGCACGCTCAAGAGGCTGGTCCAGGGGTCAAATGGCTCCCTCATGCCTTCCCTTCCGCAGGCCAGTGAAAACTTGAGCCTTTGCTGTAAAATGTAAGATTCGTTCTCAGAGCAAAAGCAGCTCTCAGACTTTATCAACCCAGTGAACAAAAAACCACTTCTGACCCGCCACTGCCGAGTGCGTTTCAGAGACTGAAGCAAGCAGAGCTCTTGTTCTTGTCCTGTCTGCCAGTCCCACGCACCTGGGGCAGCAGGGTCCACTACAGCACTCGCATCAGGCTGGGTTCCGTGTGAGCTCTCTCCTCCCGGGCAGGCAGAGGGCAGGACGTGCCTACTGAGTGCCTCCATGTCCCACCTCATCTGGGCAACAGCACTGCGCAAGCTGGCGTTCTGCTCCCGGAGCCTCTGGGTCTCACTGGATGGAGAACCCCGACTCACATCGTCCTCACCAGGCCCCACAAGCGTCTGTGAAGCAAACAAGAAAAACAATCTGCCAACAGCCACACAGGGCAGAGCTGAGCAATCGACAGAGGGACAGAGGCAGTTCAGAGGTGACAGGACTGTCCTCGCAACAACAGGACGGGGACACAAACCACCTGAGCCACATTCCAACGCTGTGGCTGAATGACCTGAAGCCCATCACAGAACCAACTGTGGGGTGTCATCCAAGAAACCCTCAGAGGAAAAGAGATAAAAGCTGGACAGAGGAGTGTGCAGAAACCTGAATGGTGACACCACAAAGCACAATCCACGAAAGGGGAAATCGAGAAGATGGCTTCAAAGAATGACAAGTCACACATCTGACAAAGGATCAAAGCCAGAACATGCTCAGAACTTGCTTCAATCCAACAATGAGAAGCTGGCATGCCAGGTGGAAACGGCAAAACGGACCATCTCCTCGTTCATAGCCTACACATTTTATTTGCGTGGTCCCACCTTGTTTACAGGATTAGCAAGCTATCAAGTCCCCTTGGTGGGTCACCAACACCTCATGCTTGTACAGTGCTACCAGCCATATAAGTCCTGAAGAGCAATAAAGTTAGTCCAAGACTAAGGTGCACCTGATTTAAGCCATAATCTTTTCAATCACCTGCCATGCATGTGATCACGGGACAGCGAATAAGGAAGACAGAGGACAGAGGCCTCTGAATACTGAATATCCAGCGGATGGCCAAAAGAACAGAGGCATGTCCTGGACGAGGTCAGTCCGGAGTGCTCCTTGGAGGCATGAATGGCGAAGCTTTGTCTCCCTACTTTGGGCACGTTGTGAGGAGAGTCCAGTCCTCAGAAAGAGGCAGCATGCCTGGAAAGGTGAAGGACCAGCAAGGGATACGGCCTCCGATGAGACGGACACCGTGATGCGGCCTTGGGCTGGAGTGTGTCCGGGATGAGGACGGCGCAGGGCAGGACACGGTTCAGCTCTGTTGTTCACGCTACGCGTCATACTCCACGGCACCTCGCCACCAGCAGCCCAGTGATAGAAGTCAGCCCAAAGCTGGAAAAGCCGTACTGAACGTGCTACACCACAGAGGTAACGGGAGAGGAACTCCTGGACAACATCAGCCTCTTTTCTGCTTACCGTAATGTGCCTACTGGCCTAGTGGTAAGGGTTCTGTTCTGCCATGTGGGAAAGGGAAGGCTTTGATCTTCCTCAGCCAACACTTTGAATCCTCTTCACCTTCAGCCGAGTTACATCGTCTGAATATCACACATTGTTAGGAGTCTTCCCCCAGTCCTGATGCCCTGTTCACAGTCCAGCGTCATGGCTTGTCTGTGAGCATGCTGATGGAATTATTACAGTGAACTGATACAACCCAGATGAACGACTTTTCTGACTTCAAACCCTGATGTGTCCCCTTGAAAGACGGACTCTTCTATGTGCAGGTCCCTCATGAGCACAAGGAAATGTTCTAAACATCCGCTTTCCACAATATTACCCATAATTCGTCCATGAACCCCGCACTGATACCTGTGCACCATCAATAAAGCCCAGGGAAACACGTTCTGGTGTTCCATGCCTTCAGACAGGATCCAGCTGACATCAGCAATGTCATCCACTGCACATGGTTTTCTGAATCCAGCTTAGCTTTCTGGCAGTTCCCTATGGATGCAAACCATTTTAAACTACTTTCAGCAGGACGCTGCCAGTGTGTGGAAGCAATGGTGTTCTGCAGCCTGGCTGTAATCTCTCCTCGCTGTTTGGCCAAGCAGCTGTCTTCCAAATGTCTCGGCAGAGATGAGCGTGTTCCTGGCACTGCACCCACATAGCGGCAGGTTCTGTCGGCACTGCAGCGATTCCTTGTCTTATGCTAAGGCTGTCAGTGTCACTTGGGCCTCTAGGTTCCACACCATCTCGTAGAGGTCACACCTAGCATGGCACAGGCTGCCCCAGGAGTCCGAGCTGGCCTGACCCTATTCAAACTTGCCTTCGTCCACTTACAGGGCCGGTGACCCTGGATGTGCCTTATCACTTGTCATCAGGGCTGACAGCGCCACCTTACGCAGCCCTGCAGGTGGGCCTCTAGCGCCAGTGAGCCGCAGACCTCAGCGCGTAGGCGAGGGTGGTGGCAGCGCAGTCTGCAGGAAGCTAACCCCAATGCTGCCGTCTCTGGAGGCCCAACTCCACCAGCCGCTCAGGGGAAAAGGCCCATCCTGTACAATTTACAGCTTTGGAAACCCAGAGGAGAGCTCAGCATTAGACACCGACCTTCCCAGCTGGCCCCATCCCTCCTCCTGAGTCACCCGCCTCTGCAGTGGGGTCTTGGAAGAACGAGGCCCAGTGCTACCCATAACCCAGCATCCACCCCGAGGAAGCCCGGGAACCCACTCACCTGCCTCAGTGGCCTCCCACACTCTCTGGCCCTTAACTTGATACTAAGCAGGGCCTAGAGCTCTGGTGGCTTAGTGGCAAGAAACTGCACTGCAATTCCAAATGCACACCGTTCAGATCCACCAGACGCTCCGTGGGAGAGGGATGGGCAATCTCCTCCTGTACGATTTATTGCTTCTGAAAACCCGCTGGAGGGTGAGCTATGGGTCAGTCCTGACCTGTGCCGCACTTAACAACAGGGAGGGCCTAGGGTTAGCTAACACCTCACACCCTATCTGATAGCCAGAGGTTAGGCTAAAGGCCCCTGGGCTGGCCCCATGATAAGATGTCAAAGGTCCTGTTACATAGGCCCTAAGCAGGCTCTGCTCTGACTGGTCCAGACCCCAAAGCACTTCTAAGGCCCACTGTTTACTTAACAAAGAAATTAGCCAGTGATAGTCTCCCAGGCCTGCAAGTAAGACTCTGTGTATGGGGGGTGTGTGTGTGTGTGTGTGTGTGTGTGTGTGTGGCCACAAAAGGGCCTTTGTCTCCTTTGTTGTGGGGCTCTGGGCATACCTGACCTGCACGCACACCACCCAGGCCTCTGCGATGTGACAGTGTGATGGCCTCCAACAAGCTGACAAGCTCACGGGACAGCTGGGCACAGTCAGGCCTGAAACAGCGTTGTGGCTGGCCTGGGAACAGTTTGCCTTGGGAAGGGTCATTTCCTCGCTGGGCTGGTGTTGGCCCTGGGAACGTAAGGCTGGATGTGGACAGCAGCCCCAGTAGAGTGGATGGGCCGCAGCCAGGTCATGCCATGTGGAGCCCCTATCAAATCTGGGCCTGAGTGCACAGCACCCAAGCAAGTGGCTTGAATCCTTCTCAGGCCTGTCTCCCACAATGACCACTGGTGTTGTTACGTGCTATTAAGTTCCATAATCACTGAGGGCCTGGCAAGTGTGCCCACTCTGCTCAGAGAGCTCCTCCAGGAAGCCTGGGGGCTCTGCCACCTTGGGCAGCTGGGCAGGGACTTTCTTGAGGGTCAGAGGTCAGCTACGATGTCAGTGGGTGGGGTTGTGCTAACTCCAGCAGGCTCAGTGCTGTCCTGGGTGCTGCAGCTGGACACCAGCTTCTCTGGGGCCTGGCTGGGAGGGGAAGACTTATGGGGTCCATGGCAGTGTCACAGTTGGCACACCAGGCTCACCACAATGAACTGGGCACAAAGGCCTTGTTGACCCCACATACCGCATGTGATCCCAAGGGTTCAGACAGTGGGCAGCCCCCTATTCTGAAGGCGGTTCCCTTATCTTGAATGGGCCCTTTGGGCATAGACACTGGTCAGCACTCCCTATTCTAAACATGGTCCCCTCATCCTGACCACAGCCTCTTGGTCACTGCCGGTGTTCAGCCCCCCTATTCTGCATGCACCCGTCATTCTGAACACAGCCCTCACTGATGTAAATCCTGGTTACCAACCCGTCTGAACGCGGTCCTCCCTCAGGCTCGAGAAGAAAGGTCAGAACAGCCTTGGGGAGGCCGAGGAAGGGTGACCAGTGGGCAGGAGGCGCCACTTCTAAGGTAAACCCTGCCAGTTACCTGGTCTGGCCAAGGCACCATGGTCAGGAAGGGCGACCTTAGACACAGTGTCCAGGCCAACTGAGGCCACCACATGCTGCCTCAGCCGCAGGTTGCCTGTGCCCCGACCAACAGGAGCTGTGTCCTGTGTCCTTCTGCCCAGGAGCTGTTCTTCATTCAGAAAGCCAGCTTCCCGGCTCCAGGTCACAGCCTCGTGGCTCCCTCACAGGCCCTGCTCAAGTCTTCCTCCTCACAGGTGGCTCATGCAGGTCAGAGGCTGTACCAGAGTGGTGCTTTCTGCATGGGGACTGAACCTACAGACGCAGTGGGAATGGATGGGCCAGGAGAGCCCTGCTTGCTGGCAGCACCCCCAGAGGACTCTGGGGAGCTAGGCCCAGCTGTCGACCGTAGGGAAGAGAGAGTGGGGAAATGGGGGTAGTTTTCTGGGTGACAACATCATCTCAGAAGGGTGGCTGGGTGGTCAGAACACCAGCTGTGGGTGACCTGCCATGGTAAGACACGACAGAATGGGGACAGGAAAAGCCTCTCAGGGCAGGACTGGTCCCTCTCGCTCCCCACCCATCCCGCCTCCTCCGACTCCTGACATCCTACGGCTCCTCTCACCACATCTTAGAGTGAAGTGTGACGAAGAGGAAACAGTCAGCAGATGACGTCTCTGGGACAGGCCCAGACATAGGATGAGAGTCGAGATGTGTCGGTCAGACCCACGGCCAGGCAGGAGGCACAGTGTGGAGCGGCCACTACCCCTGGGGACCATGTCCCCGGCCTTCCTTGGTGGCGTGTGGTGGAGCCATGGGGCTCTGGGCTGAAGCTGTCTCTTCGTGAGTCAGGTCCCAGAAGCCTTGCCCAGTAGAGGCACAGAACAGATGGCTGGCTTCCCACTCACATGTAGGGTGGTGCAGGGGCCAGAGAGGATGGGCTCGAGGGCCAGGGGATCTAACCTGCTCCTCCCTCTCAGGAACCAGCCCGTGTGTCCTCAGCGTGCGTACTGCCTGGTCTCTCTCCAAGGTCAAGGCCTTCAGCACCTCCTCCTTGTCACACAGCCTCTGCTCTGCCTGCTGGAGCCTGGCTGCTACCTGTGGAAACGGAGGTAAAGCAATTCTGTGGCCCAGGAACAGGCCAGCCAGAAGAGGTCTCCCCCACCCCACCCCCAGGGAACCAATGGTGCAGGACACACATGGCATGTGCCCAGGACATTGCCACCCGTGGACAACCCCCTGTGACCCTTGGCTCTGGAGTAGGGGTGCCAGCAGACCACCCTGAGAAGCTGAGGCCAGGTCCTCGAACTGTGGTACTGATCCCTCAGCTCACACACCTGCTCCCTGGCCTCCGCCAAGGCCTGGATCAGGTCCTCGGACCTGCGGTACTGGTCCCGCTCAGCGGTGTCAAGGCGGCACTGCCAGTCAAGTGCCAGCTGCACCTTGTCACGCTGCAGGCTCTGCTCCCTGCCCACAGCAGCCGCCAGCTGCAGCTTGTACCTGAGAGGTGACCCCAGCTCAGCCCCTGGGACCTGGTCCTGGCGGAGCATCCTCCTTCCTCCCTCTTCCGTCCTCCATGCCCCCCTCTCCCTATTCCCCCTCCTTTCTCCTTCCTCTCCCCCCTTTCCTCCTCCATCCCACCCCCTCCTCCTGCCCCTACATACTATAATCTTCCTCTCTCCTCCTTCTGGGGCCCCAGGCTGCCGGGAACCACTCCAACCACCTGGGCCAACTGTCCCAAGGCCTTCAACCTGACTCACCCTCAACTCATGTGCTGTCTCCTCAATCTGAGTGCCCTACCTGGCCCCCATCACCTCACTTAGGCAGAGCTGCACACAGGGCTCTGTGACCACCCCCCAGTGACCAGTCCTTTCGTCTGTGGATGCCACCTGGGCTGGCTACCTGTCGATGTCCTGCTGGAGCTGGGCAGACTGGGCCCTCAGATTCACTGCCTCCTCCTGCAGGGTGTGTGCCTGCAGGTCCTTGGACACAGCTTCCTTGGAGAGTTCAGCCACCTGGGCATCCCAGGCAGACTGCAGAGCAGACAGCTCCTCCCGAAGTCTGCACAGAGAGAGCGCCACACCCCAACCTTCACAGGTGCATGGAGGTGCACACAGGTACACAATACATGCCTCATCTTCACAGCAAAGCCCAGGCAGTGAGGACACCACACCCCATCTAACACAGGGTCCACACACAGCATGCACAGGTACACACTCGGGAAATGCTGCAAAGCTGAGCCTCCATGCCATCTCCAGGCATCACATGCCACCCCAGCCCCACTTCACATATGCAAGCTGGGACCCCCTCCACCTGTCATATGCACAGGCTGGAATCACCCCTTCCCCACACATCATACATGAAAAATTGGAACCACTCCCTCCATGTTGTGTGTGCAGGCTGAGATTCCCCTATGTCACACATGCAGGCTGGGACACCCCCATGTCACGTGTACAGGCTGGGTCCCCCCCTGTCACACATGCAGGCTGGCACTCCCACTCACCGGTCTACCACGACATTGTGGTCGCGTGCAGCTTCGGCCTGTGCCCACTCTGCCTGGCAAAGCCGCTTCTCCAGCCCCTCGCTGTGAGCCTGCATCTCCAGAGCACGCGCCTCCAGGGCCTGCAGCTGTTCCACGTGGGCCTCCTTCACTGAGGCCAGCACCACGTCTCGCTCCTGGGCCAGACGCTCCAGCTCTTTGTGCCTGGGACAGCACGGCAGGGGCTCCTCAGGGCCCCTGCTCTTTCTGCACCAGCAGCCTTCTCTGCTGGAGCTGTGATCCCCCATGTCCCCCTGCGTGCTGCCTTGTCTGTGCGCCCCTAGACCCTGCCCATCACTCTTCATGGTACACAGTAAGCAGAGCGGGGTGTTGGCCCCAGGGCCAGACAAGAGGATGCACAGCATAACTCCAGTGCCATCTCCCCCAGCCAGAGGTCACCTGAGGGGCTGATGGGCCTAGCACACAGCATGACCAAGCATGGGCCCAGTCCTATCCCAGGCACCAGGCTCTGCCATGTCACAGCTGTGGCCAGGCCGCAAGATCATCTGGTGGTGATGCTGACCAAAGCAGGACCTATACCCAGCTCCTGTCACCACAGGGTCATCTACAAGGGTAGATGGCTGACCAGAACACGTCCCCACACCCACTGCCCATCCCGACAGGGTCATCAACAGGCGGCACAACGCTTACTTCCTCCTGACCGCCTCCCGCTCCTTTGTCCAGGCCAGCTGTGCACAACGGAGCTTGCTCTCCAAGTCCTTTATCCTAAAGAGAAGCAGTCATGTGTGGACACAGCAGAAAAGGGACAGAAGCCAAGGCTGGCCTGGGCAGGCAGAAGGGCAGTGCCTCGAGCCCGGCCACACTGCACTGCGTACCGGGCATCCTTGACGGCCGCCAAGTCCTTGAGCTCCTGGTCCCTGTGCATCACCTCCTGCTGCAGCTGCTCATTGGCTGTCTCTGCTCTCTTCAGAGACTCTGCTGCCTCGGCGCCAGCTTCCTTCAGGGCCGCCAGCTCCCTCTTCAACAGTTTAACCTGCAAGAGGAAATGATGACTCACAGACAAGGTCAGCAGGATACTGTCTCTATTTTGCCAGGATCAAGGGGGGCGTGGAAAAGCAGAACTTGAGAAGTGGCTTGTGTACGTCTCTTGGTGCACACGGGTCCCTGTGTATGTCCGTCAGTGCACACGGATCCCCATGCACACGTCTGTCGGCTCACACGGGTCCTCCCCGTGCACACGTCTGTCGGCTCACTAATCCAGGGTACTGGTATTTGTCTCACTGTCAATCCCTTCCCTACCCTGCAGAGGGTCACCCCATGGATGGTGTGTCACCTTGAGCTCCTGGGTCAGCACTGCACTGCTCATGGCATCGGCCTGCAGGCGGCATTCATGCTCCCTCCTCCTCATCTCAGACTCAAAGTCCAGCTGGAGCTCCTGCATAAGAAAGAGCCCCACGAGGGCAGCCCATCAGAAGGCCCACCAGTCGGCCCTCAGCCAGCACCAGAAGGGGCCCCACGAGGGTGGTCCACCAGGAGGACCAGTGGTCAGCCCTCAGCCTGCACGAGAAGGGGCCCCACGAGGGTGGCCCACCAGGAGGCCTGCCGGCCAGACCTCAACCTGGATCACTGGACTGCGAGGAAGCTGGTAAACCCCATGGAGTGGAATGAAGTCAGGGACACCAGCAGGGAGGCCTCTGTCCATACGGCTGGTGGCCCACATGGCTTATGCACATCCCCGAGGTGGTGGAGGGGGCTGTTCTTGTCTCCCCAGCCCTGTGGGGTTTGCAGTGTTCAGTGAACCTGGTCACAGGCCGCTGCGGCCACCTTGCTCACTGGTGTCTTCTGGCACCTCAGCCGTGGCTGGGCCACCAGAGCTTCCACTCACAGGGAGAGGCAAGGATCCCCGGGCAGCCTACATCAGCACTCGACCTGGAGCTGTCTGCTCCTCCTGCCTAGCTCTCACAGCAGCTCCACCCACTGATCAAACCAGAGTGGACAGCCACACTGGTCACTGCATGGGGACAAACAGCCCTGCACAACTCAACTGTGAAGGCCGGCGCTGCCTATGGATGGGAGCGCACAGCTCCAAACTATCCACCAGAGGGCAGTGTTCCACCAGAGCCCTATCAGAAGGTTGCCACCTTTGGGGTTGGGACCCAGGGCAGGGCCCCAGGTTCCAACCCAGGCCAAAGGCCACTGCCCACTACTGGAGAGCTCAGACAGAAGCAATGGGGGGACTGAAGCTGGAAGAGTAGCTGTCAATGCCCCAGCATCTGAGGAGGGAGGGGGTGGAAGGGACTGAGGGGGCCAGCCTACAGCACACCTCCTGACCACACAGCCCCTCTGGTGCCTCTTCTCTGCAGCGACCCCAGAGCTCATTCCTGCTGGGACTCAGAGGATGTATGGCTCCCAGAAGTCAATGGGGTTGTGCTTAAGGAAGCATTTCCATCTCTGAAGGTCCTCCAAGTTCCAGCAGCAAACGAACAATGGGCAGCATCAAGGAGAACAGGGAGGTTGTCTGGGGGACCAAAGCCGTGTCTGTGTCCACTACAGCCATATGTCCTGCCAGTGGCTGACAGCACAAGGGGGCGTGCTCAGAGCACAGCAAAGCCCCAGGTCTGCGTATCTAGGTCAGATCCCTCCTGCCCTGCTCTTAAGTTCCAGCTCAGGGTCATGGTCAGCAGTGGGTGGGAGGCTGACCAAAGTCTGGCCTGTTCCCAGAAAGATGGTTGCTCCCAGCCAGAGGGATGGTCAGCTGCTCCCACAGGGAATTCTCCCCACAGTCCCCTCCTTCGTGCAGGTGTGCAAATACAGGTGCACGTGCAACAAGTTCCCTGCTACAGCTCAAGTGCGACAGCAGATGGACCCCACCTCAGTGCACATGCAACAGCAGATGGATCTCACCTGCAACACAGGAGTGATGACAGATGGACCCCATCCTAATGCAGGTGTCACAGAGAAGACAAGTCCTGTGCAAGATGTCTTGGGTGTGCACTTGTCTCTACAGGGCGGTCTCAGGCACATACCTGTCCACAGTGCAGGTGTCCCAGACATCCCAGGTGCATACATACCTGTCTCTGCAGAACAAGCTGCCCGTCCAGCTCATGAAGCTTCCTCTGCAGTTCCCACTGCAGCTTTGTGTACTGTTCCCGAAGGTGGTCCATGTCTTCATTCTTGTCGCTGTGGTAGTGACACGCAGCAGTCAGAATTGATACACTGAGGGGCCACCACAGGTGTTCTTGAGAATCCTTCACACGCTGGGGGCGATGGGGTCTGGGGAGGTAGATATTCTGTCCCCACTTGGCGCAGTGAGCCACTACTTGAGGGCGGCACCTCCCCACCCCACTCGGGGTGCTCCCGCACACTTCCTAGCAAGGGCCTATGTTTACCTGACATGGACCCTAACAGGGTGACTGCCTGCAATGATATAAAAGGGACCCAGAGCCTCACAAGTCCAGACTGTCCCATGTGCACTGAGAACCCGTGATATGAGAACCAGCAGAACCCCAACTCAAACAGGATGAGGGCTCAGTGACAAATGCTGGAGCTGTGGGGTGGGGGTGCCCACAGGTGTTTTGTCTTCTCGGATACACCACCGTTTTCCCTGCAATGTGGCCATTTTTGCAAGGAGAGGGAGTCTGACCTCAAAACCAACGTTCTGTTGAAGGCTTTTTTATGCAGAAATTACCAATATGACTGATATTAGAAATACGTTTAGGGTTAAAGACACACAGGACCCTCAGCTCGGTAGTCAACAGTCGACGGAGAAGTAAGGGCCATGATGACAGCTATTTCTTTACGTAGGTGCCCACAGCGAGCGGCCAGGAGAAGCCGGTGGCACAGTTAGTGCAACTTAATCGGCATTCCTCTGGGCTGTGGTCACACTGTCAAGTCAAAACCAGCCCACAGCTGACCTTCCAGTGTGTTTTCAGGGACAGTAAGTCACACGGGGGAAACTGCCCATCCTTCTCCCCCAGAACTAGCTGGTAGGTGTGAGCCCCATGCCTTTGGGTTGGCAGCACGGCTCCTCAGCCCCAGGTCACCAGAGCGCCCCACTCCCGATACACACTGCCAAAGAATGAACAGGATCCCCGGCAGATAACAGCAGCATTACAAAGCATCTTCCAGGATTTTCAGTCTTTCGACTGGACAAATCCTTACAGCCTAGGAATACACTGGTAAGACTCTCAGAGCCTCGCTTCTTAAAGCCCACCTTCCACAGCACGAGGGCAGTGTGAGTAGCAGTGCCTTCCCTGCAGAGCTTTCAAACCATCCTCCACACATGAGGAATGGAACCAGACTGGCTTTGTCACGTTGTCCACTCGTCCTTTTGTCAAAGTGGAAAGAAAAAGTCAGCAAAACGGCTCCTGATCAGACACAAAAGGAAGGGAAGGGTCACACAGAAACCTAAGCCTTTGAGGAGCACATGAATGTTCACATGAAGACATCTGACGGGATTGGAGTGGCCTCTGCTTCTCCATGTGGCACGCCTGCCTCACCCAGCACCTGGCCTGGTGACCAGAGGTCACATGGTGACAGGCAGGTGTGCGTGGCAGAACAGAGGACACATAAGTTGAAAACATAACCATGAAATCACAGAACTCCGTAGGCTCCAATGGGGCGGGAATTTAACATACACTTCAATATCACATTCGCTTAATGCTCGCAGCAAGGAAAGCGTATAACCTGGGGTTTGGGCAAAGCAGGACAGAAAGGCTCTCCCAGATCCGACGTAAACATCAGGGTTAGCATTCTAATGGCAGTCACTGAAAGGTTGCTGAAATGAACGGTTTCCTTCACTCTTGTGTCGGAAGGGCCAATGGGCAGGGAGGGCAAAACCTCTCAAACAACAGCATCAGGCAGAGCAAGAGAAACTCCTTCAAGTCTAGACAGCACATGATTGTCACTTTATAAGGATTTTCCTTCAGATGAAACGACAGCTCTGGCTCCCAGCTCCTCTCCCTCTCTGAGCCTCAGTAGAGATCAGCAGGGATGCACAGGAGGTGTGTGGAAGCCCCCACAGCAGCACCAGGTCACCTGGCCATGACTGCTGTGCCTCCCCAGCCAGTCTCCTCGCAGCCTCCATGAAAATGCTCCAGCAAGCACTCTCAAACCAAAAAGCTGCCATCTCAACAGAAGGAAACTCAAGACAGTGGTCAGAGGTGGAGACCAGAAAAGAAAGTGAACAGCACATGCTTTGCAGCGAGACTCGGAGTCACCGCTGCAACGGTCGGATGGCTACAAAGCACTTCCCAGAATTCTGGGCTCAAGATGCTCACATGATGGCTAGGCGGACCTTGCAAACAAGGTAGCAAGGATCCACCAAAGGAACTGGTCAGCTTGCCAGCAATGCAGAGATAAATCCAATGAAGGAACTGGTCAGTTTTGCCATCTTGCTGAGCCTAGATAGAGCCCGCCTCAGACACAGAGGAGGGCCTTCACCACCCCCAGGAGGCCAGGCACCAAGTTCACACTTTGGGTCTGGACTCAGTGAGATGTAGGCGAGAGGGCGGTAACCCCAGACACAGCCAAGAACTGGCAGCGAGAAACTGTGGCAGTGGAAGCAGGGGGCAGGAGGAAGCCAGCACAGTGGGCTTCCGGTCCTCAGAGGAGGGCGGCAATAGCTTGGGCAGGAGGCTGCTGCTGGGCCCTGGGTGGGGCTGGGCATCCCGCCTGTGGAGTAAGACAGCCGTGTGGCTTTGGTCTGAGGCTGTCTGGTGGAGGTACCTTGGGGTGTCTGCTGGCTGAGCTGAGAGCTGTTTAGCTCTTACGCGGGGGAGGCAGAAGATGAGCAGCTGCGCCTGGACAGACGCAGGCATGGCTGAGACTCTGTCCCGATCAGAGAGCTGTGCTCTGAACTGTGGCTGGTCACTGCCCTGGTAAACCTCACGACTGGGCACGGCCACGGCAGAGAAGCTGAGTCCCAAGCCGGGTGCTTGGGTCTGAATCGGTGCAGGGTGGAGACTGAGACGTGTCTGATGTCCGCCTCCTGGCTGAGGCTGGGCTGATGGTGAGTATTCCCACCCCAGAAACTGGAGGAGGCCTGGCACCATTATGTCATCTTCAGAGGAAGATCCAAGGGCGTGAAGACAGGATGACAGACAGGTCTCCATCTAAGAGAGGAGCCTCGCAGGGCCTCAGGGGGTGTGGGCAGTGAGCACACACACCCTCACAGGGCAGGAAAGGACAGTGAGGAACCATACCACGGAAGCAAGGGCAGCTGAAAACTCCCAGGTCTGGTGGGAAAGGGACAGACAGAAGGCCAAGGAGATGCCTCCCACAGCAATGGAAGGTGATCTGAGAGCGACTTTACACTGCCGAAGAAGCCACAAGGAAGAAAATCAATGACCCTCCCCCTCCCCACTACATAAGAACAAGCGCATGGTCCGTGCCTCGCCGGTCACCAGTGCACGTGTGTGCAAGAGATCACTCAAGTTCCTTGACACATACAGCAGACCATGTACAACTGGGCAGCAGCCCTCAAATGGTCAGTGAGCCCCGAGTGGTTGGTGAGCAAGAGTGGTCAGCAGGCCCGAAACTGTCAGCGGCTCCCAAGCGGTCTGCCGTCCAGAACAGTCAGCAGTGGCAGCGGTTAGCAGGCCTCCCCAACTCACCTGTGCAGGTGCTCCAGCTCCAGGCGGTGCTCTTGCAGCGTCCACTCGTGCTGCTGCTGCAACTCCTGAACCCGCTGGGCCTCGAGGGCCAGTGCCCGCCGCAGCTTGGCCACCTCAATCTTAAGCTCACTGGCCTCAGCCTGGCGGGCCTCCTCCACACGCTGGGCCTGCGCGAAGGCCGCGTCATAGCGCTTCAGCTCCATGTCCCGCTCCTCCAGCAGCTGCAGGTTGTAGACAAAGTCCTCCTGCAGCTGCCTCAGCTGGCCCTGCAGCCATTCCAGCCGTGCAGCGTCCTGCAGCGCCCGCCACTCGCCCTCCTTGTGGGCCTGCTGCTCCTCCAGGGCCCGCTCAGGGGGCAGCATGGCCACACTGTGAGGACAGGGCTGTGAGCCCAGGCTCCAGGGTCCCCACACTGGCCACCCAGAGCCTGTGACAGACGGGGGCCACAGCAGGTCTGCCCACCTGGGAGGGACGTTCTGTGCCTCACCGGGCAGCACGCTGTAGCCAGACCCTATGCTGCTCACTCCTCAATGGAGCGCTGCCCATCCGCAGTTCACACAACACAGTAAATGCAGGCGAAGCCACAGGCTGCTTCTAAATTCAGCCTCGGGGAATGACGTGACCAGCCCACAGATAAGAAACTCCCCTTCTCACACACCCCTCCCCACTCAGAGCTGGGAGGCCGGTGAAGTGCCCGCACTGGCTCCCCTCCTGGCACTCACCATCCAGCAAAGCCGGTACCCTGGTATCCACACTCTGCGCTGCGTGGGCTGGCCCCCCTGCAGAGCACAGTAAAACATGTCCCTATCAGACTCTTGACCACCTGTGGGGGCTGCTGGGTCTCACTGCTAATCCGTGTCCAGGGCTCTCTTGCTCTGTCTGTGGGGCTCTGTCAAGGACAGTGGAGAACTGGCCTGCACACCCCATTATGTGCCGTTCTCATTTTGTGTTCCCCAAATGCCACTTTGTAACCTCCATATGCCCCGTCACCCCGCTCCCCCTCACTGGGTCACCCACATGCCCAGTGTCCTGCTGCTCTAATGTGTCCTCACATGCCCCCCATGCACTGTGTCCTTCACATTTCCCTAGTGACCCACGTACTCTGTGACCTCCACCTTCCCCAGCATGTCTCACCATCCTTGTGTCCCTCACACATACAATCACTCATGTGCACACTCTGGTCACGCGAGCAAATATTCAGAAAAATCCAATCTTAGAAACAAGAATGAGAGCAGGTTGGCATAGGTTTACTGTTTTAAGTTAACTCTGGAATTCCAAAGCCCACAGTCACTCTGTAAATTAGCAGAAATAGTGTCTTGTATGATTCAGCCCCAGGCAGTGTTTGGTCACATGGACAGAGGGTGACTAGGAGTCATATCAATCTCACAGCACCCCTAATCAACACCTACAGCAATGACATCAGTGTCAACAGTGACCACAGAAACAAAAGTGGCAACAACAGTGTCACCAACAGTGACAGCCATGTCAGTAGAGACAGTAGGCTAACAGCAACAGCAGTGACAGCAGCGACAGCCTCCCCAGGAGCCTCCCCAGGAGTGACAGCAGTGTCAGCAGAGACAGTAGGCTAACAGCGACAGCAGTGACAGCAGTGACAGCCTCACCAGCAGTGACAGTGACAGCATCACCATGAGTGACAGTGACAGCATCAGCAGTGACAACAGTGACAGCGACAGCAGCATCAGTAGCAACAGTCTCACCAGGCGTGACAGTGAGAGCATCACCAGGATTGACAGCAGCGACAGCCGCACCAGGAGTGACAGTGACAGCAGTGATAGCAGTGACAGAAGCTGCCTATTGAAGGCCCAAAGTTCACTTCACTCCTGAAATAACAATCACAAACTGAGACACATCTGCACAAATCCACATACGCATCCATGTGCAAGTCACATGCGCATGCATTGCACATTACATATACCTCACACACATGCTGTGCAATGTACACACAAACACATGCAACACACACATACACCACATGCACCAGACATGCCACACACGGCACACACACTCACACACACGTATCACAGTCTATATCATGCATATACATGCTTCATAAACACCTGTACCCCACACGCATGAACTAAGGTCTGGCCACAGTTAGTGAAAGAATGAAGAAAAAGTGGACAGTCATAGGAGTGTTCTGAGTTGGTGACTAGAGAATCCAGAGTACTCCATCACGACCAGAGCATAGGAGGCCACATCTCCACATCTCCAATTGGATGGCACTGCCCTGCCCCAGGCCACAGAGGCCCGGGTGGAGGGCCCTCAATGCCCCTGTCCCCTTGCTCCCCCCAGCAGCCCACACAGTAGGCTGTGGGCACTTCCTGCCCTGACCGAGCCCCAGCACGCTTGACTCAGCTCCCCCGGGGCAGAACTCAAGTCCCTGCCTGAACGTGAGATGCACCCTGCTCCCAAGGATGACCCCTGAGCGGATGAGGTCACCAACCCAGAAAGCCTGGTCTTTAGGAAAGGCCTCTGAGAGGGGCCTTAGCCTGTGCCCAGGAGTCAGCCCACTGTCAGGCAGGGACAGGACCGCAGAGGCCACAGAGCCCCCACTCCTGAGCGCCATCTTCAGGGCACAGAGCATATAGCTCCGTGGTCAGGAAAGGCCTGGTCAGGAACCCGGAAGTACCCGCATGAAAACTGCTCCAGTGTGCGGGGCCAGCCTCGTGGGCATGAGGCCTCGGCCTGATGGCACCCAGCAGTCCTAAGCCCGAGTGGAGGGTGAACCGCATCTGTGGGTGTGGACAGGTTGTCCCTGCAGCACATGCTGTCAGAGGTTAGGGGATGGACACTTGTGGACCCCACACAGACAGCCCCATCCTCCAGAGGAAGAGACTAAGGGGAACCCAAGTCCCCCAGGAGAGTGGAGGCCTACCTTGAGCCCTGTCCCGGGAAAAGAGCCAGATGGCTCAAGTGGACAGCAGTGATGCCCAGAGGTGGACATAAAGCTGAGGGGCAGCGTGCTGCTACGTGTGTATTTCTGCACACGCCGCACAGTGACCTCCCGTCACACTGACCAGTCTGCGAGTTCTCCTCCACAGAGTGTTAGCAGATCTGATCTGGGACCCTTTGGATCATAGCCCAACACATGATGCCCTGTGCCACAAGGACTACAACTCCCACCCACACTGCCACACAGTGCCTTGACCTAGGCTGCTTTGCAAAGCTCTAAATCCTACCAGGAGGAAACGGGCCATCTCCTCTCAGGGAGCAGCTGGTTGATTCGAACACTGGAGACATGCACTTTGGGGCAGCAGTGCAACTTGCTGCGACACACACCCATCAAAAGCTCATTGCTGTGAACTGTTACCCATTTCCGGCTGACCCTCCAGTAGGTTTTGAGAGGCAGTAAAGCACCTCTTTCTCCCGAGGAGCAGCTGGTGGATTTGAACTACCAGAGAGACGCCCTCTTTGGGTCCGCAGTGCAGCTCCCACTGACAACCTCACCAAAGTGCCGCGAGCTCATGCACAAATCACATGTACAAATGTGTAACACACACATGTGCAAGCCTACATAAACACACAGAAAACCAAAAACACACATATATATTTCTAAAGGCGCATGTCTCTGTGTATGTGCATACATAGTTAGTTAAATAAAATTTACCTTTCAGGAAACTATATACTTACATGGGGTTTGGTGGCCTCACGTTATGAAGCTGTGCCGCCAACCCAAAGCCAAGAGGCTGAAATCCTCCAGCTGCTCTGTGGCAGAAGGATAGGCAATCTCCTCCTGCAGGATTTACAGCCCCTCAAAACCCACTAGAGGGTCCTCTATGAGCCACACAACAGCCAACCCCAGCTCGTGACAACCTTCCAAGCTGGAAATGCTCACGTGAGCGGAGAGCACTGATCTCCTATCACAGAGCAGCCGTGGAGTTCAGGCCCTAACCCTTCGGTCAGCAGCCTGACACAGGACGGACACGTGACTGCAAGACCAAGGCTTGTGTCTGCGTTTGTTGTGCTTAGATCCTATCAAGTCGGCTCTCATAGTGACCTCAAGATGAGCATATCTGAACCCTGCCCTGTCCTGCTCCTTGCTTTATCTTCCTCGTGCTCAAGCCTACAGTTAGTCACGTGGTCTATCTTTCCCAGCGTGATGTCTTTTTCCAAGAACCTCCTGATTACATGCTCAGACTATGTGAGGCAATGTTGCACTGTCCTTGCCTCCAAACAGCAATCCAGTTGCTCCTGTAAGACTGATGTGCTTGTTCTTTTGGCAGGCCACGGATAGGCAGGGAGCTCTGGTGGCTTAGTGGTAAGTCGTGCCGCACACCAGCGGTATGCAGTTCAAGTTCATTAGCTGCTCCTTGGGAGAAGGATGGGCAATCTCCTCCTGTGCAATTTTCTGCCTCTGAAAATCCACTGGTGGGTCAGCTATGTGTCAGTTCCAACTCGATGGTATGTAATGACAACAGGGAAAGCTCAGCACTCTTCAACCCCACAATTCAAATGCATGGATTCTCTGTCGTCTTTCTTCACCGTTCAACTTCCAAAAGCATAGGAAGCAGCTGAAACTGCTACTGCTTGCATCAGGCATAACTTAATCTCCAACAAATGTTCCTTCTCTGAAGCGCTCTGGAGAGGTTCTTGACAGTAGATTTCCCCAGTGCAATACATCTTTTGATTTTCTGGCTACTGTTTCCATGGGTGGTCACTGACTTCAGTCTTTCCTCCATCTATCATGGTGTTGTCCATCAGCTCAGAGTTGAGGATTATTTTAAACCATGTATTTTATTATATGCGGCTACCAGTGTGTATAAAATAATTACTCCCCCTTTGTGAAATAGAAACTCACGAACATTCAGAGAGGCAGATGTTAAGAACTGACAGAAGAAGTCTGTATAGTACAGCACATGTGTTACAGGGTAAGCTTTTGTACAGGTTTCATGTTTAGCTCTCCTTTGAATATTCACTGGTTCTTAAGAGTGACTTAGAAAACCTCTGAAAGGTTCATTTTACTACAAAAATGAACAGACTTTCTGGGGTCTAAAGGGATTTGTACTTGGAAGACAGTCCAGTCAGCAGGGGGTCATGCTAAGCATTCTGCAGACAGAACTGCTTCACATCTGCCTGGGAAGCCGCTGAACCACTTTCTTCATAGCGACACTAGAGGAGCTAGTGAGACAGAGAGTGAGGCCAGATTCTCCTTTCAGGATCCATGCCTGTACGGGTGGGTCAGCTGGTGAGTCACCAGGCCAGACAGCAAGCAGGACAGTGCATGACAGCGGGTGGGGCACCTCCAAACTCAGTGTTGAGGATTTTTTATGTTGAGATGTTAACTATGTTGAAGGCTGTAGTCTTTGCCTCAAGTCTTCCTAACTTTCTGCAAGCCAAGTGT